AGAGTCTATCTCCACTAACAAGGGATCAATGGCCTAGGAAGCGAAATAGGCAAATTACAGAGGGAAGTTTCGATGAACTAACCTTTGAAGCTCGGATGAACACGAAGAACACTTGCATGAACTTTATCTCTCTAGAAAATTCAGCAGCACTTCGTTATCTCAGGAACGCAATGGGGAAACCTCCTCGGAAGGGGGGGGGGGGTATTTATAGACCTTCCCCCCAACAGTCACTACACGTGGCAGCCTCCCATTGGCCACATGAACGGCCACCACCCTCAAGGCCCATTGGGCTGGGTACCGGTTTAGAAGTCGGGTCACGCCCACTTCCATAACACCAGCTCACCACTAATAAGCCAACCACTCAATGGCCACACCAGTAGAGCATGCCCGCATCGACCTCAACACAGAGATACCTCAAATGGATAGATCACATCTCAAGGCACGTCCACATCGGCTTGAACAGAATGCCAATCGCATGGTTTTCTCAACGGCCACGGCGGTAAAACCACCAAGAAAACCCCACGCCATCGGCCCTGTATAAAACCCTGATGATAATTTCTTGAAAGCGACCTGCGTCCAAGGGTTCTCCCACAGGGTTACCTTGACGAAGGAATCGCCGAGGAATTGGATTCAGGTGTATACAAGAGTCCGCTTCGACCTGGGTTAAATCCTTTACTCCTTCACCCCTCACCTACTCTTCGGCCTGAAGCAGTGGGGGATTGGGGGACTACACCGGCCTTTGCAAATCAGGACAAAATCAAAGAAATCCAAAAATATACTAAGTCCACAACTACAACATTAGACATGCACCACAACGTCCATAACATCGTGGTGCACCGTCGGCCGCAGCAAAGCTAGCGAACAAAGAATTCCCTCCCAGATCAGTGCCGTTATCATCCTCAAAAGCATGAATGCCAGACTACGGACAACACCGCTTCGGCCAAAAAACACAGAACACGGCCAACGGCCAAGAAGCAAACCGCACCCTCACCGGCTACCTGGGAACAAAAGAACACTCATCATCCTCGAACAGGAGACAACCACAAGGGCCTCCTCGGCCCCAAAAAGCGGAGAACAACCATCAACTGTCACGAGTGGACACGACCATTCATCGGCCATTCATGACAAAGGGCGCTCATCTTTCCCACCAAGCAAGGACGCTCATTGTCCAACCAAAAGGCAGGCCCAATGGCCTCCTCGGCCAACAGTACGAACTATAACCGACGGTCAGAAGAAGTGAACAGCACCCTTAACGGGCACTCAAGATGAGGGAGGCTCGTCGTCTTCAAACAAGAACGCAACCGCAGTGGCCTCCTCGGCCCAAAAACAAAATCCAGCCACCGAAGGTCGTGAGAAGGAAAGAATGTCTTCATCGGCCCGCTCATGTCGGAACACTCATCGTCCACAAACAAGCGCACCAAAGGAGGAACATCCTTCCTAGTCCACGTCAAGGAACGGGTAACGGCAAAACTCGGAACAAGGCCACCAAACGCCACGACAGGAAACGGCCAACGTGGTCCCACGTCGGCCAAGAGCATCAAGCACAGAAATCTACTCTCCTTCACTTCGTCTACATCTCAGCTTAGAGAGTGGGGGACTCCTGATGGAGTATATGGGTCTAGACCCCAGGACCCACATACTCAGAAGAACAGAAAGTACAAGCCACTGCAGAGTGCCCTCGTCGGCCAAAGGACCCTCGTCGGCCGAAGAGGGACCAACTCAGAATATGATCCCGAAGCCAAGGAACCAGGGTGTCCTCGTCGGCCGTGCCCTCATCGGTCGTGCCCTCGTCGGCCAGACCCTCGTCGGCCGCGGGAGTCTCACAGAACTAGATTTTACACTTATTCATTTATATATCCCATCATTTACTTTGTATTCGGCCCAATAGCGGTCCAGCTGTAAATGGGCCTCCCAAGCCCAAGGCCTGAGAGTCCAGCCCGTATTTTTCCTATAAATACTTCCTCTGGAGGTAGTTATAGGGGTTACAAAATCATTCTATTGAAGCATTTACTTGCACTTCTCTCTCTAGCTCTCACTTCTCTCTAGATATATACTTTATCATTTCCTTTTTCGTCCGTCCCAAAAAGAACTTCCCTTTCCCTTTTTGGCAAAGAATTTGTGGTTCACGCCAATTCTTACGCATTTCTCCCTCCTCTGCACAACTCAACACCACACAAAACTCATTTTCTTAATTCGTGTGTCATTTGTACTACGGAAGTAAATTATGGGACACCACTTAGGTTTAAACTTGCCGTTACCTTTTTTTATAGCATTTCAATTAAAAATCTCAGTTGATTTTCTCATTGTACCAGTAAATTTAGAATACGGATTATTAAATAAAAAAACTAGGTAGTGTCTTACAGTAAGGAGGAAAGAGTTGTCCTCTTGACTGTAATTCTTGGATCCGTCCATGCAAGTGGGAGTATACTGATCCGGGGTGTGGCTATGCTTGAAGGATGGGGTCACGGAAGGACTTGTCAAAGTTTAAATCTGGAGATGTGTTGTTATGCGATTAGCATGTACTCTTCTTGCAACAACTTTAAAAAACAATTAAACAAAACTCATCTTCTAACAATGAAACCTAACATATTCCCTACTAGTGAAGATGAAGCAGGTAGAATTCTAGGGCGCTGTTTACTTTTCTTTTTCATTAAGTGTTGTCTGGATTAAGATGTATGTCTGGATTAAGACGTCTGTCTGGAATAAGTGACACTAGTATAACAAGTTGTTTACTATGTGTGCTGAATGAATGGTCTGAACGATATTCAATTACCAATTTATCCTCGGTAACCAAGTGATGTATATATATTGTCTTTTTACTTTTACTATTCCGGATAATATTGTTATTGCATAAAATTTATCATAATATTAATGTAGTGATCAAACATGTTCATATCACAAAAGACAAAGAAACAAATTCAAGAAAATTTTGACAACATATTTAATTTAAGCATTTCCTACTAATCTATTACCAATTTCATCCCGTAAATTCGTCATATACTATATGCTTTGGGTGCCCATCTATTTCTTCAATACCAAGTCAGGAAACATCTAGAGCCCGTTTGGTGACCCCTTTTTTCGGCTTATCAGGCTTATCAGCCAGTTTTTTCACCAAAACTTAACTTTTGATTTCGCGCGTTGAATTTTGTAATAAGCTGAAAAGGTAAGGTTAGAGTTACGTTTATGGCTGTATTGACTGAAGTTACTGTAGAGGATCATTTTTGCTATTTTTCATATAATTTTTTGTTTGATTTATTAATAACAAATATTTTAAACATAATTTTTTCATAAATCAGCAAAATCAGCCAATACAACCACATCAGCCAGAACATCATAAATTTCAGCAGAATCAGCCAATTCAGCCAATTTTAATGTTACCAAACGGGCTCCTAATCGAATAAGTCACAATATGCATTAAGTCCTAAGTAAACAACATCATATGGCTGAGCAAATAAGTTACCATATCAATTAAGCTCATTAAGTTCAAAGTAAACAGGCCCTAGGTAGAGAAAGATAATGGAACTCGCACGGGTAGCTCAGTTGGTCGAGTGATGGGAAAATTGGACCAAGTGACCAAGGTTTGAAACCCGCAGCGATTGTGTGGAGGTTACAGAACCTGAAATAAGACTGGACCTCTGGTGCGCATGTGTATAAGGCCTACCACCGCTTTGCTGACTGAATCACCGTGATTAACCTCCCCACCATCCTGTCGGGTCAGGGTTGGAGGGCTCCTAGGGTGGGAGATTCCACCTTTTTGGACCAAGATAATGGAAAGTAATTTTTACATCTGTATTAGATTTCTTAGCCTTTATATAATAGGGAAAAAATTGTCAATTCAAGTTCTCTAGCTATTGAGTCAATGACACTTTTAGTACACAACTTTTAGTGTTACCCTTTTTAGCTCTTCAAATTATTATGTGAGGGGCACTTTTGATCTCGATTTCAAAGTTTTCAACCTTTAATTCTCTAAATATTGTTAAATTGGTCTTTAGTCATTCAACTATTATTATAGTGACATTTTTGTCCTACACTTATTCTGAAAAAAAAGATATGGAAACTACTAAAAATGCCACTTTTATAACAATCGAAAGACTAATGATGAAAATCTTCAAGGAAGTACAATTGTACAAAAAGCTTCTCTGTCACAACAGTTGGAAGAATGAAAGTGAAAAAATTTAAAGATGAGAACTAAAAGTATCACTAACGTAATAGTCAAAGGATTAAAATTTAAAAGTGACAAAAAGCTAATAGAAATTGAGTGGATAAAAATGAGCTTGAACAAATATTAAAAAAAAATCTTCTTCAATTCTAAACAATGCTCTATTATGGCATTTCTTTTTTCTTTCTTTCAAAGATTCTCCTATATTCCTCCATATTTTGATTATCTTCTTTATCTAAACAGTTTCTGAGATGACCTGAAGTCCCAAACCAAGTCCTAAGAGAAATTACTTTGACTCTGTAGGGGTTGCGGAGTCCTGTAGCAAGTTGTGATTGGAATTAGGGTTGGACTCGGGTCCGGGCCGGGTCCGGGTCGGGCCTAGGCCCGGGCGGGCCTAGGCCCGGGCGGGCCGGCGGGTCAGAAATGGTGGACCCGGGACCGGCCCGGGTAACCACCGGGTCCGGTCCGGGTCCGGGCCGGGCCGGGCCCATTATAATTTTTTTTTTTTTGTTTTCCTCTTCCTAAGTAACCCCCCTCCCACCCCCAACCCCCAAACCACCCCAAATGGCCCAAAATACCCAGCCCAACCCAAAACTTTAAAAAAAATTGCAAAAAAAAAAAAAAAATTGTTTTTGGCCCGAACCGGGCCCGAGCCCGGCCGGGTCGGGCCTTGTTTTGGGTGACCCGAGCCCGGACCGGAAAACCCACGGGCCGGGCCTACCCGGACCGGTCACTGACCGGGCCACCGGGTCGGGCCGGGCCGGAACAGTACCGGTCCCGGGCCGGTTCCGGGTCGGGCCACCCGGCCCGAGTCCATACCTAATTGGAATGAACCCTAGGGAAACATCAATAACTGGAAACTGTAATAACCTGTCGAATTATAGCATTATTATTCATTCCCTTACTAACAACTTTCTTCATTGATTATGGTACAAAGATTAGCCAACAAACAATGATGGAGGGATGTAGAGCTCTTTCATAAGAAACTAGAAAAGCTTAACCTCATCCACCCCACATACATGCAAAGCCATATAAAATGCACAGAGTCCTTATTGATTGCCTCTTCCTTCCAACCAATCTTCAAACCTTGCTTGTATGTTCAGCTCATCATAGCTGTCATTCAAATGGGAGTGAATCTGATTATGACAAGGCACGCTTATATCCACCGCCAGCTCATCGACCACCTGAGTCGACACAGGCAAGTCATCATCGTTGTCTGCTTCATCATCATTACCCACCTTCACCATTTTAAGTTCTTCTCCGGACTCCTCACGTTTAGGCCATTTCATACTTCTAGGTGATCTGAACACATCTGAGAGATACCCACTACTTCTGAAAAATTCAAGTTGCGGCCCACTGAAAGGATCAGTTTTCCTGACCCGAAAACTTGAACTTCCGGTTTTTATCGACAACCCTTTCTTCCTCTTCTCCTCCTCTTGTCTTGTACTGAAAGAAATGACAGCAAGGCAATGTCGAATATCTTTGATCATCTCTTTGGCAATCCGAAAACCGCAATGCTTCATTGATCTAACCATGACTGTGGAATCTTCGGAATCCTGTGCACGTAAACTTGTCTCACGACATCTACTGGCAACCTTTGTTTTGAGGTTGATGAGGTTGGGGACTGCATTATGTGCATGTTGTTGGATGTAGAAAAGCCCCACTGATGGTTCATTTCCCACAAATCTAATCATGTCTGCTAAGCTGTTGGCCATCTCCACAAAACCATCACCTGTAGAGAATTCGTGCATCTTCTTGAAATACAAAGGCTCGTCATCACTGTTATTGGTATGCATATTTGATAGGGGAAAAAAGAGATCAGCAAGACGATGTTCATGAGGACTATTGATATACATAGATGACTAGAAAAGATGAGGGCTCTGTTTGGTAGCCCAGTGTTGGTTATTAGGTTAAGACTTGGGGTTACCAAGACTTAGACACTTATGGGCTGTTTACTTTCAACTTAATGGACTTAATCATTCAACCATTATGTCATGTTTACTTACGACTTAATTAGAAACATGACTTAATCATTCAGTCAAAAACTAACTTAATCATTAAGTTTGAGAATAACAGTCTTAATCCAGACGTCTTAATCCGGATAAGACTTACTAGAAAAAAAGTAAACAGCCCCTTAGTGTTCCATAATCTCATATGAGAATAATCTTGTATGTGAATTTGTGTTGGTGTGGGGCTATCTGAAGTAAACAGTCTTAATTTAACATTCTTGCAGGATGGTAATCAATCAATAAAAGCATGTGTTGCCTATCTGAGCTAATTACTTTGATATGGTCTCACAATAAAAGATAAATTGATAGGAGAAGTAATTAGTTTGTAATTTTATATTTGGTCAGTATGGGATGACTCAACATAATCTGCTTATTAGTTGATGATGTAGTTTTTGACTTGTTGATAAAATGGATGTTACCAATTCAAACATTCAGAAAACTCAGCAGTTCAAGGTTATGGTTAACATAAGTTTATTGGGGTTGAACAGTATTTTACTCTCCTTGATATTTTCCTTGCACTTTCTCAAATACTTTCATCCTCTTTCTCCCCCTAGCATTTTCCGCATTCCAAATGGACCTTAAGAAGTGGGGTGAATGAATGAAACTTTCCTTTAAACCCATAACATCACACCATATAGATAGCCAAGAGTATCTCACTTACTTGAACATAGATCATATGCACAATGGGGACTGTATGAATTCAACAATAATAGTAGATGATATACAACCTGCAAATATTTTACAGCCAGTCATTAGGGAGGTGCCACTCAATGCAACTCATTTGCTAAAGTATACTCAAATAAAGACCTGCTAGGGGAGAAATCAAGAACCACATATCTAAGCCACACCAAAACACAACAAAAACAGAGCAATAAATTCCCATTCTTTAAACATGAGAGAGTGACCAGTTTGGGAACTTCACAGGAAACCCACCTCAATTGCATCATCAATCAAGAAAAGGAAATGGCAGAAAGAATAAATTGACTTACAGATAAATATAAAAACCCTTCTTTTTTCTTCAGATTCTGAGCTGATTCGGATATTTATTTGATTTCCCCCTCATTGTATGTATTCAGAACTTAGGCTGAGTTGTCTGCCGCTATACGGTGAGAATATTTTAATAGTGTTGGGTGGAACACATATGGATGAAATTGGGGTTAGTCAACGACTCAACCACTAAAGGCATTTTATTTTTCCGAGAGACCGAAATTAGACAATAATGGAGGAAGCACCGCCTCCGCCGGGGGAAATAGAGACAGCGATGGCCTTCCTTGCTGGTTAAGCTCCAGGACGCAAACGATTTTTGCCTTACAAATCCAGCCGTCTATTCCGTGATCTCTATCCTGCTACCTGCTCATTTTATTATCATTATTATTCAGAAAAAGCTATCCCCATTGAAGTGTACAGTACACTACTGCAATCGACTGGATCGGGCATATTGAGGATTAGATTCATGATATTCATTTATTTATTTATTTGTGGAATGGTGGAAACTATACATCACTATTTTATGATAGAGCCCATTTGGTAGCACGAAAATCGACTGATTTAGCTGATTCGGCTGAAATTTATAAAGTTCTGGCTGAAGTGGCTGCATTGGCTGATTTTGGTGATATACGAAAAATATATTTTTAAAATATATTTTATTAATAAAATAAAGAAAAAATTATATGTAAAAATAGCTAAAATGGTCATCTAATAAAATGATAACTTCAGCCAATACAGTCAGAAAAGTAACTTCAACCTTACTTTTTCTGCTTATTATACAATTCAGCATGTGAAAGCAAAAATTACGTATTTGGTGAAAAAGTTGGCTGATAAGTCTGATAAGCCGAAAAACATTGTTGCCAAATGGCCTCATAAAGTCTTACACGTTTTTTATTATTCCTTTAGAACAAGTTTTATTTGTAAACTTAGGTATGTATGAAAATGTTCTTAGGAAGAAAACTCAATTTCATGCATTATCCTATAATGACAAAAAATGTACAATTAGAGAAACAAAAATTGATATACATAGAACCAAACATTCACATCTTTGCAAATTAGACAAACAAGTAAACAAATCGGGTGCTTCTACGGTGCACTCCTTAATTTGGTGTGTTTTGGTACACATCCTTTTTAACCACTCACCATCCTCTTTAATCACTCATCCCATTATATCTTAATCTTATGCCACCTAATATCCTCATTAACTAAACATAATAATTTGCCATTTTTGCATTTGGGTCCTTCACCGACTTAGAAAAAAAGGTTAAACTGAACAAAATCGTCAAAGGAGATTTATTTAAATAGAAATAGATAAATATTTAATTGTCAAAGTATGTGCAAAGTTTAAAAGTATTCATAATAAGAATTATTATTTGTAGTTGGACAGGAGTACAAAAGTACCCCTTGAAGCTTGACAAAACTTAATGCGGCCGAACATCGCTGTTGACCGCTGGCGGCCGGCGCTACACATTTGGCCGCCGTCTTCGTACATCTGGTCAGATCTGGGCGTCATCGATCTGACCACCGACATTGCACATCTTGCCATGAACCACCACCGTACATCTGGCCAGATCTGGCCACGTCGGCCGCCAACGTTAAAGATCCGGCCTCTACCGCTAAAGATTTGGCCTACACTGACGCCGACGCCGCGGACCCGGATCACCGGTATAGGGAACTGGGGGGCAATTGTTTATAGGTTTAAATATGATTTAAGTCCTTGCAAAATATTTTTTTGTTTTTCATCCTTGTATTATGCATTATTTGGTTTTTAGTATATCACTAAAAAATCATCCCTATAAATTTTTTGAGGAAAATATGATAGTTAAAAAAATAAAAACTATTTACTCACATTTTTAAAATACGTATTAAATTCCATCATTAGGCACATTAAAAGAAAAACTAACATACATTTTAGAAATGAAAAACAAAAAAAATAATTTTGCAGGGATACTATATTTGCAGAGACTAAAAAAATATTTAAACCTTATTTATATTAGGAAGGACAAATATGGTATAAAAGTCCTATTTAAAAAATAAAAATATACATAATCCTATTTAGAAATTTAAGAAACAATTCAATCATATTTAGGCTAATAACTCAATCCTCATGATGGAGTATATGGCTCGGGAATCCCCGGCCCACAGACTCCTACGACGCCAATAAAGGCCCAACCGGCCTAGGAAGCACAGCAGGCCCAAATTACGGCCCCCCAAGCACTTAGCAGCCCACAGCGCACACTAGGGAGCCTTTGGCCCCCTAGCCGAAGGCTCAAATCTCTCACAGAACGGGTTTTTCAAGCAAAACTAAGAAACTGGGAGAAAACGGTAAAAAAGGCAGTAGCCCTCGGCATTAGCGCGCCCTCGGCAACAGGGAGCCTTCAGCAACTATTATGCGGCCGAAGGCAGCTCACACGACAGGATTCTCCCTCCACGCGCATCTGGGTCACCATACCAAGTACGACGTCTCATCCAACAGCCGCATTAAATGCGGCCACATGCGGTTGCCAGCGCCAACCAGTTGAGGTGACCCCTCGGCCAATAAGCGCTTGACACGTGTCCCTGTCCGGCATTTATTACTACTATAAATAGCACCCCTTTCCCCCATTGTAAACCACGACATTCATACTGAATACACTCTCTCTCTTACTTACTTATGCTCTGACTTCTATCTAAGTTATTATCAACAATAACCTCTCGGATATATACCCCCCGGATACACTATCCATCACCTCATTACAAGTCGTTAATCATATTTAGTAGCACAATACTAAAATGTGGTTGGATAAGAAAAGATGTGTACCGGTGCACTCAAAATTTTGGAGTGCACCGTAGAATTTTCCTTTGGTATAATCAGTATGTACAAAATGTGCAAGACATAATTTATATAAATGTCATTTTCTTTATACAAATGTGATTTTTCTTAAATGATATTATCTCATTTTGAAAATCACTTGAAAAAGTGACACGCACATTACAAAGAATCTAAAATATGAATTTGAGTCGTACAAACTCATTAAATTTAATGAAAAATAAGAGAACACAAAAGAGAAAGTAATATTATTAAACATTGAGCTTATACAAAGTTAGGTATGTATCAATGTATCATCAATAATTACATCTCAGAATCATTATTTGGAAACTGTAATCTCACTCTAGTAATGTGAGCCCCTTTGGTAACCATATTATTAATTTTATCAATCAACTCTTTTTATTGAACATATAACTTTTGATTTGACGCGTTGAATTGTTTTAGAATCAAAATAAATTAAGTGTGAATTATGTTTCCGGTTGCATTGTGCATTTTAGCTAATTTAGAACCAATTCAACGGTTTCAACTAGCATTTCATCAATTTCAATATAACTAAATCAACTGTGCATATACAAGTATCAAAGCCTTTTATAATTAGATGTCCCTTTAAAAATAGATTAAAGGGTTCTTCTTAGCTGTTTATATACTATCGTATTGTTTTTGTTCTATAGCAATGTGAAATACAACTGTCATCAGGAACGTTCATTTTCCTATTGCTACCATTTTGCTATATATCTTTTGGGACTAAAGCTTGGATGTTGTTGTACCATTTTCCTATAGATTAATTGACAATAGCTACTTGTTATAGTTTAGATATATAGAAATTACTTCAAATAGGATTAAAACTACGGCAAAAACTCAAAATATGACTTACTATTTTTGTCTTTTCAAAATAGGATCATATTAGTCCTATTGGAAACATACCTATTTTTTCATTCCATTTTTACCCTTCTTTTAAATTTGAGTTAATTAAATGTTTAATTCATAATAAATTTGAAAAAAAAATCAAAAATTCGTAGAAAAGTAATTAAAAAATTTATAAAATATTTATAAAATAAAATATTAAAAAATATTTTTTTAAATTTTTTATTTTTTTAAAAAATTAATAAAAAATAGTAAAACTCCATAAAAAATTAAAAAATATATGAATGTATTTCCCACCACCTGTACTACCTCCCTGCACCACCTTCTCCAGTCGGTGAAAAAAATACCATTTTTCCTAAAAACTGCTATTTTTTTCTGAAAATGCCAAAAACATGGCATATTTCTCTTTGAGAATGCCAACATTTTCATTGTTTTCTGCCATAAATATGGCATTCGTAATGAACTTGGCATTTTCCCCCTTGGTGACTGGAGGTGGTGATGCAGAGGCGGCAGTGGAAGCGTTGATTTTTTTTTTGAGTTTTTTATTTAAAAAAAATATTCTTTGAAAATAAATAAATAAATAAATTATTATTATCGACATATTTTTATTAATTTTTTAGTAGTTTTTATGAATTTTTATTAGTTTTTACTATTTTATTATGAATTAAAACATTTCAATAGCTATAAGGATATATTTGTCCAAGACACACATAATTAGTTCTATGAAAACATAGTTTATTTTTTGGTCTTATTTGTGCAAAGTGAGTGACTTTTAGTCCTATTTTGACAATTAACCCTTAGATATATCTCAACTTTATACGGTATAAGTTGATACCCAAACAAATTTAACATATGGCAAACATAATATAATCATTATTTTTATAAGGATTTCAGCTAATAATATATTTACAAAAATAATTTCAATTTTCATTTACGAACTAAAACAATACCATCAGCTCTTCATCCAAAAAATAGCTTATACTTCATCACAAACAATAATATTTAAATGAACTAGTAGTTTTAAGCTATAGGATAATAACTTCTAAGCTCCTAGCCTCCTAGTCAGCTTATTTTGCCAAACATAGACTTAAAGCCGTGCCTAGTCTTCTGCTTCATATATATTGCAATCATCCAAAACAGCCACCCAGGCAGACTTATAAAGGTTATCTCCTTGCAGACTACAAGAAAACAAACAAATGAATGATAGTTACTAGTTAGTTAAGTAGAGAGTAGAATTAATGGGAGGGGAATTCATTAAACTAATTATTACCAGCAGCATTTCATGGTCTCCCATTATCTCCTTGATTAGCTCCTCCAGTGGCTTATCAGCTGCATTAGGAACCACAGCTGCAAACACTGTTTTTTCTTCCCCTTCTGTTGTTATCAGAAGAAAAACTGTCAATCAACACTATATCAAAGTGAACTATTTAGGATCTCTGTGTATTGGAAGTGTGAGAATAGCAAACTATGTCAATTTACAATTTTACACTATGTCATTTACCAGTTTCTTGAAAGGCATCAATAAACATCATCATCTCCTCCCCGCTAAGGCCAGACATGAAGCAAATCTTGGGAAGTGGCTTTGCGATCTGCGTTAGAAAACACAAAGTCTTACTGTGTTTTTTAATTGAAATTACGGAGTATTTATTAAGATATGGATTTACATCATTAAAGGTCAACCATATGGTTAGTTTCGGTCTTCAAATTCCCCTCGTCAATGAGTGGTTAGTACATTGTACATAACCGTAAAAAGTCTGACG